TGTTCTACTCTGCACGCACTGATCCCTGTGAGTCAGAGTCAACTCCTTGGAAACTAAAAACAATATGTGATTCGTTGTGGGTGGTGGATTGTAAGCAAACGTAATGTATGTCTTTCTGGGCCAAAGTGTTTAAGAGTTGGCAGGCAAAACTTCAGCTCCTCTCTTCGCTTGCTATGGGTGATTAACAATGTTCCAGATGGAGGAGCCTCTATCATTCTGATTCCCTGTATGCCATGTGATCCCATCTACTGATGCATGCTAAAAATGATGTAGCGAGAGTACAAAATAAACTTTTATGTGTTAGGCCATCAAGATTTCAAGTTTAATTTGTTACTGAAACATAATTTAGTTTGTCCTAATATAGTCCTTAAGGAGCTCTGGTAGCGTAGTGGTTACGAATTGGGCTGCGAACCTTAAGGTCAGCGGTTCGAAACTACCAGGTGCTCCGCGGGAGAAAGATGAGGCTTTCTACTCCCGTAAAGATTTATACCCTCGGAAACCCTGTACAGGGTTGCTATGGGTCGGAACCGACTCGACGGCACTTAACAACAACAATATATTCCTTAATTGCTATCATGAAATAAGAATTATGAGCATATCTGTGACTATCAGAGAAAACTAATCCCTGAGTTGAATCACCAAAGTCAGAGAAAACAGGTTTATAGAAAACTTTAAGAAAAGTAAAATGGAGTCAACTTTAGCTTAGAATGAACTTACATTTTCAAAATTGTGTTTATGAAACCCTAATGGAGTCCTGATGTAGCAATTTAGGATAAACACTGGACTGCCAGGTCAGTTTGAACTACAAGACCAGTGGTTCAAACTCATCAGCTGCTCCTCAGAAACCCTTTACAGGGTTTCTATGAGTAGGTACCAACTTGATGGCACTAAACAACAACAGAGGTGCTACAGAGTCCTGGTGTGGTACTGTAGGAAAATACTGGGCTGCTAATATCAAGGTTGACAGTTCAAACCCACCAGTCACTCCTCAGAAACCCTATACAGGGTCGCTATGAACTGACTTGACAGAACTTAACAACAACAACCAGAACAATGGTGTTACAGAAGTGCCCCAAGATCATTGGAGAGGCTAAGAGGATAGACCAAGAAAAGGACCTTGACCTGATCCTAAATACAAAAGCTTCTGTTTTATCTAGCTATGTTTTACCTTAGGGTTCCAGGGAAGATTTTATTTGTCAAAACAAAACAAAAAATAGTTGCCATGAAATCGATCTGACTCATGTGACCCCATGTGTGTCCGAGTGGAACTGTGCTCCATGGATTTCTCAATGGTTGATGTTGCAGAAGTAGATCACCAAGACTTTCTTCTAAGGCACCTCTCAATGGACTCAAACCACCCACCAATCTTTCAGTTAGCAGCCAGGAACGTTAATCATTTGCATCACCCAGGGACTCCATTTGTCAAAAGGTTTGACTTTTAATAATAATCATCTTTTTCTTATATAGGAATTATTGTTGTTGTTGTTGTTAGGTGCCATTAAGTTGGTACCGACTCATAGTGACCTTATGCACAGCAGAATGAAACACTGCCCGATCCTGGGCCAACCATCCTACTGTTGTCACACTTGAGTCCATCGATGCTGTCACTTGGCCAATCCATCTCGTTGGGGGGCCTCCTCTTTTTCTCTGACCCTCCGCCTTACCAAATATGATATCCTTCTCCAGTGACTTGTCCTTCCTGACAATATGTCCTAAGTATGAGAGACTAAGTTTGGCCATCTTGGCTTCTAAGGAGCACTCTGGCTGCACTTCTTCCAAAACGGATCTATTGGTTCTTTTGGTAGCCCATGGCACTTTCAATATTCTCCTCCAACACCATAACTCAAAAGCATCAATTCTTCTACGGTCTTCATTATTCACGGTCCAGCTTTCGCATGCATATGAGGTTATTGAAAATACCATGGCTTGGGTCAGGTGCACCTTAGTCCTCAAGCTGACATCTTTGCTCTTCAACACTTTAAAAAGGAATAGTCATTGCTAAACCATTAGCAAGTCCACAAAGGAGAACAATGGGTAAAATAAAATGATTAGACTAGGTGGGGAAAAAAAAAGGGTTTAGGTCAAATAAAAATTACAATCTGTTGTTGTTGTTAAGCACCATCCAGTCAGTTCCTTCTCAGAGCAACCCTGCATAAGGTTGCCAAGACTAAACCTTTGTGGGTAAAGAAAGCCTTATTCTTCTCCCTCAGAGTGACTGGTGGTCTTGAATCACTGACCTTATGGTTAGCAGTCCAGAGCTTATCCTACAGAGCTACCAGTCTCCCACAATTATAATCTAATTGTTCCAAATTGGTTTTTATCTGATTTTCAGAAGACCCATTTTACTTTTTAAGTCATCATTACTTTACTTCACCTTTGGCTACTTCTAGAGTTCCTTTTCACTCTAGGAAGTATGTTTAAAGTTTGGTAGGCCTCTACCCTTAGTGAGCCTTTTCTCAATTACTGTAGTTGATAACCTTTCTCCTGTCTAATACAACCATGGCCACCAAACTACTGTTAATGAGATGTCTCTAGAAAAACAATTCCCTTCTAATGCATAAAACAATGATAGCATCATTGCTTTCCAAATAGACTGCTTCATGATTTTTTTTCCATTTGGATGCTTCGTTGGTTATATGCCATGGAGTCAGTTCTGATTCATAGTGACCTTGCATATGATTTTGAAGACTGTAAATCTTTACAGGAGCAGAAAGCCTCAACTTTCTCCTGAAGAACAGCTGGTAGTTTCAAACTGCTGACCTTGAGGTTAGCAGCCCAACTCCTAACCATTACCTTAGCAGCACGTCGTTCCATTTGGATTGTTGTTTGTTGTTGTTGTTAAATGCTGTCGAATTGGTTCCAACCCATAGCAAACCTGTGTAGGGTTTCCTAGGAGCACCTGATGAGCTTGAACCACCTATCTTGAAGTTCAAACTGACTTTGCAGTCTAGCACATTAACCCACAGGACCACAGCAGGGCTCAATATGTCATAGGTCCTAGGACTCCTGATGTGGCGCTGTAGGATATGCACTCAACCATAAAATCGATTTGAACTGCAAGGTCAGGGGTTCAAATGCACCAGCTGTTCCTCAGAAACCCTATACAGAGTCACTATGAGTCAAACTGACTGGAGGCATGTAACAGCATGTGTATGTCATAAAAGAATTACTTACAGATGGATAGCATGATCTACTGATAGGAACAGATTAGAGTATCCTGAGCCCTTCCTTCCCTGGCCCATACTAAAGGAAAGGTGGAAGGAACCACAATAAACCGAGTAAGAATCATGAACACAAATCACAAAAAGACCAGAAACACCTTGTAGTTTGTGCCATGGAAACACCTGCACAGAACATAAGGACTCCTTGTCCTTCGTATGACCTTTTGACACCTACTAGCTTATTACAGTATCATTAGCATAGGTATCTACACCTGCATACAATGAAAAACCTCCATATTCAGCACTGGATACACTAGTGTGGAAGATGGCTGAGGAAAACCAACTCAGACTTCCCAAACCACTCCCCCTGAGTGCACAGGCGCCCCTAGGGGAGGTGCCCTGAGTTACTTAAACCTTGCTACCCAATTTCTCAGGGTCTTCTCTACTGCATAAACAGACCCGCTGCTCTCTCTAAAGTGTTCTTTCACTTAGCAATAAAATCATATGAGTAGATGCCCAGTGTGCTTGCATCTTTGAGAAGTGGTGACTTCAGTTGAAGTTTTATTCTTCAGATTCCTAGAGACAAGAGCCAGGAGACACATGACACCATCCGAAAGAGTCCTGGTTTGGGGTTCTTACCTTGGTGTTCCTTTGTGTAGATCAGATGACCTTATCTCTGAATATGTTATTCCTCTATCTAGATCAGATCACATTGTCTCTAAATTTTCTTTCCCTCTTTTGAAAAACTAAAATAGGAGGAGAGACGGTAGAAAGAAAGAATAATGATACTTAGCCTTCTGACAGATAGTGTGGCTGTAAGGATCAAATAAAGCCACAGATGAGAAATGCTTTGACTGTATAAATACAAGTATTTTGTATATCAAGAGCTAAAGTTCTCCTCAGAATATCATAAAAAGAGACCTTCTCGGTAAGCTGTTAGCATACAATTTCCTGAATGCAATAGGAATAACGTAGCTCCTTCCAGGGCTGGAAAGTCTGCCCCACGCCAAGTGCACAATGGGGCTTTCTGGAAACATTAGAAAACAGGCTCATATTGATACATGGGGTTCCTGCTTTCATTGTGTGTGGAGGGGGGGGACATAAACCAAAGGGAGTTACTTCACTCTTTAATCAGAGTCATTTCCTATTCAGTGCTGTTAAGAGTTCCCTCAAGTAGCCACTTCACAAAGGCTGAGAAGAGTAATGTAGACAACTAGATAAGCCTCTTACTGCCCTATTGTCCAATTCCCTGAAAACTGGAGGAAGTAACGAAAATGGAGACAGACTGCTGACCTAATTTTTTCTTAATATCCAGAGTCCCAATTAAAATCTGTTTCTTTTAGACTCACTGATTTCTATGGTGACTTACGAAGGCCAAGAAAGTATGCACACCCAATAAGCACAGAATTTATAGTATAAAATAAAAAGAAAGAAACTCTTAATTGATACACTACTGCCTTAAGTCTCTCATCTTTGAGTAACCCATCTGCTAGCTCTAAACGTTCAGCAACTGTTAAACATATCCTTCGAAAATCAAGAAACAAGTTATTATAAGTCTGATACTCAGGCAACCAACACCCCAAGAAGCAAATGACTCTGCCTGAGAGAGTAAGGAAATCCCAAAATAGAATCCTGGAATTCTGACTTGACAGGCTGCTTTTGATCTTTCACTCCCCATAAAAGAATACCATTGAAACATCCAACCCCACTAACACTGGTTATGGGTTCTTTTCATGTGAAAAGTGTCCTTATTCTAACTCCTCTTCCACAAGTCCTACAACCTTACACAGTCCCTTCAGTCATTTCTTGTCCTTTATCTCACAGCTCTGACACACTTACCCAGGGATATTTTTTCCAGCAAGTAGAGATAGCTCTGAAAGAAGTCATTGTGAATGGCTTTGTGAAGGATAAAGGACATGCTATATCGACAGAGGTCATCATCCGTCTTCTGCCAGCGGGATCTAAAGGCAAAATGGGCTCCCAGGTGGGCCATGGTGAAGGGGGTTGATAAGTATTCTTACAAGGGAAGCTTGCCTAGTTGTTTCTTTGAATTAGCCTTCTCTTCCTAGTCGAACTTGAGACTGTCGTTTTAAACCAGTCCCTTGTCCATATCAGGACAGGCCGTCATGGGGTATGAAGGGAGGAGGGGAGCAGGCACAGAGAGGTCAGGCTCTTGGCACATCCACTGTCTGATTGCTTGGGCGACACCACTCCAATCCAGCAGGTGCTAAGTAAAAATGAAAACAGGCTGAGTGAACTGCTGCTTCATCCCAGAAAAAGCACGACAGCCTCCCTCCTTTCCCTGCCATTTCCAGAAGGCAAAAGCACACCCTGCTAACACCCGGAATTTAATTTGATGATTAAATTGGAGTAGCCTTATTTCCATTTCAAAGAGTTGTGAATATTGTGTAAGAGATCCTATTCCCTGATTTCCATCACTCCTCCAGGAACGCAGATCCTCAAGTTACAAGGACCCTTTAAAGTCATCTTAGCCACCCACACCCCTTACACGGGTACAAGTCCCCCAAATTTGTGTTTCCCGTTTTGAAGAATCTTCCACAGAAACCATTCTATGAAAAATCGGTTTTGATGTTAAATATCTATTTTGTCAGTAAATTCTTCCTTCTAGCTTGCTCTATACAACACTTCCTCTCTGATTATTGTGAATATGACTTTCCTCTTAAGTACAGTTAGTTTTTGCACAAGATATCTTCTGACTACTCTCCCAGATTCATTCATGCCACACTCTTCACCATAGGAAGTGTGTGCTTTAGGAGGTTGACCTGTATTGAGTACATCAGTGGACTCCTTTACCCTCTGGCTTCCAGTTGAATTCAGTCAATGGATTCTATCAGCAGGAGACTGGCTACGAAAGAGGTCAAGATATTTATTCCCCTGGCACCTTTTCTGTGATGATGACATAGGCTAACTGCTTCTTAACAGACAGTGGTAGCACCCGTCAGGGGGATTTTTCATACTAATAGCCTCTCCTTATTGTGACCAGTCCTTATTCCCCTTATTACTTCAAACTGTTGAACATCAAGTCAGCTCTGACTCATCGTGACCCCATGTGTGTCAGAGTAGAACTATACTCCCGAGAATTTTCAATGACTCTTTGTTTGTTGTTGTTTTTCCCCCTAGAAGTTGATACCCAGACCTTTCTTCCAAGGTATCACTAGGTGAATTGAAACCTCCAATCTTTTGGTTAGCAGCTGAGCGTTTTAAACATTTGCACCACCCAAGGTCTCCTGCTTCAGACCTAGAAGTAGTGATATGCCAAGCTGCTATAAGCCTTGGAGAAATGCACTAATCCTGGTGATTTTCCTTTATTTGCTCTAGTGGGTTGAGTTGTGTTCTCAAAAAAAGATGTGTCCTAGCACATGTATCTGTAAATGTATCCCTGTTTAGAAATCGTTTTTGTTATGTTAATGAGATCCTACAGCAGTAGGATGGGTTCTAATCTCTTTTGAGTGGTGTCTTATAAAAATGGAAAACAGACACAGTAAGACACATGGCAGGAGACAATGGAGTGACAAGGGAAGCAGATGCATCTGTTAGCAGTAAAAGAATGCCAAGAATTTCCAGCAACCACCAGAAACTGGGAAAGAAGCCCACAGAAGAAATCAACATGGCTGAGACCCTCATTTGGACTTTCAAACTTCACAACTCTCAGAAAACAAATTTCAGCTCTTTGAAGTCATCCACTTTGTGGTATAAGGAGCTCTGGAAGAGTAGTGGTTACAAGTCAGGCTGCTAACCTCAAGGTCAGCAGTTCGAAACTACCAGCTGTTTCGCAGGAGAAAGATGAGGCTTTCTGCTCCCATAAAGATTTACAGCCTCGGAAACCCTGTGCAGGATCACTATGAGTCAGAACCGACTCCACAGCACACCACTACCACCACCACTTTGTGGTATAATGTTGTGGCAGCTCTAGGAAACTAAGACATTTACCCACATCTTTATAAATAATACCTTTATTAAGCTAGCCTTAAATTCCCAGTTCTTGAATATCATCTGTTTCCTCAGGGACCATGATTATAGTTTTATCCCTCTAAAGACAGGGTCCTGGTGTGGCGCTGTGGGCTAATGTGTCAGACTGCAAAGTCGTTTGAACTGCAAGTGGTGGTTCAGGCTCACCTTGAAAACCCTATACAGGGTCGCTATGGGTCGGAATCAACTCAACAGCACTTAACAACAAAGGAGAATAAAGGAGCTCTGGTAGCGTAGTGGTTACAAATCGGGCTACTAACCTCAGGGTCAGCCGCTCAAAACTACCAGCTGTTCTGTGAGAGAAAACCACAAAGATTTACAGCCTCGGAAACCCTGTACAGAGTTGCTATGAGTCGGTGGCACATAACCACCACCACCAAAGGAAGCTAGGAGATCAGGTTTGGTGTTGTGGATTAATGCACTGGACTGCAAGGTGTTTTTAAACCAAAAGGTGGGTGGTTCAAGCTCACCAGCTGCTCTTTGGAAACCCTATACACGTTTCCGACTCGAAGGCATTTAAAAACAACAAAGGAGGCCTACTCACCTTATGGGTTAGGCATTGGGCTACTAAATGCAAGTTCTAAGGTTCAAACGCACCAGCTGCTTTTCAGGAGAAAGATGAGATTTTCTATTCCTGTGAAGATTTATAGTATATATAGGGTCACTTCCAACCAAGTGGAAGTGGTCTGTGATTGTATATACATCCACAACCAGTGTGGTGCTGTAGAATAAACATTGTACTGCTAAATCCACCAACCACTCCTCAGAAACCCTATACTGAGTCACTATGAGTCAAAACCAACTCAGTGGCACTTAACAACAACAATATTCCCTCCCTCCTTCTTTGTATTCACTCCCATTAGTGTGGGCCTGGTGGTTCTGTGGGATAAATATTGGATTGTTAACTGCAATGTAGGTGATTCAAACCCATCAACTGAACCACAGGAGAAAGATTTACTGTCTTGAAACCCTGAAGGAACAGTTCTACTCTGTCCTGTAGAGTCGCTTTGAGTCAGAATAGACTCGATGGCAGTGGGTTTGGGTTTTGTTTTCTTTTTAAACAAACAAACTTTTTGCGTGTGAATTGGGTGAAGGTTTACAGAGCAATCCGTTTTTCATTTAACTATTCATACATATTTTATTTCCTGTCACAGATTGCAATTCCCACAGTGTAACATCATTTATATCATTTTCTCCTTGTTTTCTCCTTGTTTCTCCTTGTTTCCTCTTCCCTTCTTCCTTCTTTCCTAACCCTTCTTAACGTTGTCCTTAAGTAAATGCTGCCCTTTTGATCTCAAATGGTTGATTAGTGTTACTGTTCCTATTATAGACCTGTCTGTTGTTTGGTCAATGTAAAGGAAACAGAAATCCTCATAATTCAACCAAGAAACAACATTATCATAAATGGGGAAAGGATTAAAGTTGTCTAGGATTTTGTTTTACTTGGGTAAGAAATGTTATCAATACAGACAAACACTCAGGAAATCCAATCTGTATTCATTTTGGTGAGAGTGAGGTTTTCTTTATTGGATTTTGCAAAAACGGGCAACCAACCCAGTAGACATGGGCCGAAATGTGCTGCCTGGCCTGCCCACAAACAATTTTATTCCCCTGTCTTGATAAAGCCCCTCCTCCAGAGCCACAATCTAGACAGAATGGTGCCCAGAGTTTTAATGACTGTATTATTTAAAGTTCCTAGTCCTAGAACCCACCACATATCTGTCACACATATCTGTCAGTTTGTCATACTGTGGTGGCTTGTGAGTTCAGAAAGCTATGCCACCAGTATTTTAAATACCTGTAGGGTCACCCATGGTGGACAGGTTTCAGATGAGCTTCCA